AGTCTTTTGCCGATGCTCAGACTCTGGCACAGGATCGGGAACGTTGGAAGCTCTGTCTGACGTGTCTGCCTCCGCGACCCGAAAGGAGAAGAGGCGATGGAAGATGAAGATAGCATAGAGCATTTTTCTTGACACACTTTAATGAAACTTCGCCTTTGCAAGTTTCATTTGCAATCGATTGGCTATTCCTTGTTTCATATGTTTCTCCCTCTTCTTTTTCGCTACTTGTCTCCTCTACTTCATTGTCTTAATATCTTCCTCTGCTCGCTGATCCTTTTTCAACATCCATTTCCTCAGTCTTTCCTCAATCCTCATTTTATACTTCTCAACTTCAGTAATTGACTTCATTGGCTTTGAGGGTTGTCTGACAACGAAAAGTATTCAATAGATTTTCAGCTGAGCAGTGGCTATGTAGTAGTGATCTATTTGCGGAGTAGAAATGAAAATTTGGTCAAATGGCTCACTTGATATAGAATGGCTTGACACGGTGCACGTGGCGCAGCATATCTTAATATTTAAGCCAGAACTAAGCTACAACGAAACCCATTATCTCAGCCTGAGCCCCCGCGACAGCAATCCAGTTAGATAGCAATATCAAACGATGCTCAATGTAAAATTGTTCTAATACTTTGCTTACATATTCTTGAACTGCCACATTCATAAAAATAATTCTAGCTCTATATATTTGTTTCAGTGCATAATTCTAACTTACATTTTTGTATCTTTTCTTCCGCTTGCAAACAGCAAACGGTGTTATATTGAATTCAGGTTATTCTGAGTACTCATCATTTGGTAACCCAGTACATGAGTACAGGGCATGTACGTCGTTAGTGAAGTTTACGCCTCACCCCGAAACAGAATCACATGGATATGTATCAGGTGGACTGCAACACGTAACAGCAGTCGTTTCAAAGTGTGCTTTGACATATAGTATGACATACAGTACATCACGTGCCGCACAACAAGACAACGCCGCTAGAACGTGCAATTGCTCCAATTTATCCTGTACTGATCACCTGATAGCAGTTTCACGCACGGTAAAAAAATAACATTTGACTGGCTGCCTTTCTTACAGTACAGAATTGTCTAATATGATGCTAGCGTTCGGTTTGCACTTTTAACCTTCAACTAGGAAAACAAATGGCTTGATCTGTACACAACTGAACAAATTTGCAAGACATGAGAAATCCGAACTTAAAATTTATCGATCTGAACACAATCATTTCCATTGCAAAGACTCATTTCTACTTTAAACCACAGAAAACGCAGTATTTTATAGTCTAGGCATATGAAATCATGGCAGGCTCTGATGAAAGACAACTTAATGATTTTAAATTCGCGGTTTATCCCTTGCGCTGATTTTTAGTCGGCCATTGGGTGGGTTAAGAAGAATAGCAGCTTTAAAGAGCAGGCACGAGACAACATCGCTCTGGCATGACCACATCAAAATACCATATTGTCTTTACAGATGGTAGGTCAGCGACTTGATACCAGTGATGATGGGCTGTTTGCATCGAAGGATGAACTTCTTCCTCAAGAGGATTAACAGTTTCAATGGAAAAGCTGTACACCGAGAATAAAATATGCGAGGTAGGCACTTCTAAAGTTAAGAGCAAACTCTTGATCAACTGCATCATTATCCACCTCCATGCGAATTTTCTCCAGTCGTCGACCTCTGAATAAACTCTTTCAACTTTGACTTTTCTTCGCGTCTGTAGCCAATGAACAGTAAAAAAATTCATTCTTAGAAGGCTTCCTCTGGAATGTTATTATGTTAGTTAGTTATGGAAGCTCACGTTTTTAACATGAAATATGTAAAACGCAGCACGATAAACGGTTTGTTAATTAGCAAGTCAATTATGATCAGATATAAAGTTTATATTTTCGTCGGATTTAAAGTTGTCAGGTGAAAAACATGAAGCAGCTAGCGAAATGCATCTACTTGTATAATCTTACCTCTCATAGGGCGCTTCGTTCGTAATTCGGAGAAGAGACATTTCAACAAAAATCGATAATCTGTCCCCGGTTCAAGGTTTCTTACACGGTGCTGCGTAAAATGGCCGCCGCAATACTCTCGTCGTCATTCACTGCGTGTGCGACGACAGCGAGACGGGCAGCTGTCGCGCGAGCGGGAGGAAACGCTATTTGCTCGATCGATTCCCCTGTCCCCCGGTTGACTTCCTGTGCTGCTGACCAGTTTTCCGGCGGAACATAGAAGCACTGTTAGATGCCCAGGTTCTTACTGTGACGACATTTTGACACTTTAATTTAGTTCTACTTTCCTTCGATCAAAAGTCGGAGTAATGTGTCATCATATTTAATATATGAAGCACTTCAGTCTTACGTTTTCTCTGTCACCCCAGTGGTATCTTTCATTTCTTGATTTGAATCGGTCACGTCCCTTTTTCCTCATTACATAAACAAGTTTCTGTCGCTTCGATTTTGAGATTACAGTGATATTTGATACTTATTAAGACGATATTTTAAACATTAATCTTAATATCTTCGCTATAAGACTTTGACTTCGCAAGAAGAATGGACAAGATGTACATTGGCGTTGCTACTGACCGGTGGAAACAGAAACTGGACGATTACCGCAAGATGAGACAGAAACCGTGCTTAAGCTTTTGGTAAAACTGGTTCCGAAACTGACCTACAATATGATATTCAGGCGTCTTGATGTTGATATTGCGTCCTTCATCGTAACGCGACGAAACAATGTGCATTTTAACAAGTGGCGGTCTTGTCGTTTTGTAAATGGCACTTCTGAGGCGAAAAAAAAATTTATTTTAGATTTACGGTTTGCATCCTGTGGTGACATTGTCAGCTATCGGTTAGGTCCAGGAAAACTTCAACTGTAGAAGAAGAGCGCATCAGGTAGCAATGCCGTTAGTCTATCACGCTTTCATCCAGCCACATCAGAACATGATGCTTTCATGCTGTACGTGTGGAATCCATATGTTATCGGTCTCTCGGTTGGTTGCACTATGGTGAAATAAAGCTGATTTCCTGATTAGGAGAATTTAGCAGTTACTAACGAACATCTTACGCCTGAGGAACTCGAACCAGGCTCTTTAAAAGTGCGAAACAAAACGACAGTCCACAGGGCTACTGTTCAGGCAGCTTACTGTTTACTTTACATAGTGAGCAGAACATCAGACTCACAATCGAGAGGTAGATTCGAAACCTAGCGGGTCGGTCGCTTTCCTGCCTTCCTTAGTTTCACTAAGCATGATTTACTGGAGAAAGCAGGTGACAACATTCTATAGTGTCACCAGGCGTGAAAATAAGGTTCTTCTGTTTGATAGCAGCGAGATGTTCTTCATGTAAACAGTGCCCAAATGGCTCTCATTCATGAAAATTTATGGGAAATCGATATCTCAGACGCTGCACAACTTTCCTTTTCCTTTTTCGTAGCTTTTAATTGCAGATCGAATGAGTGGAAAAGAACGATAATATTGTATGCTATTAGGGCCATGATGATGCTAGATAGACAGATACTGAAATATATGTATCCGCAATCATTAAAGTTGTGATAATTGCAAAAAGCAATTAATAAGCAGTATGCTTTGATAAGCAAATTAATCATCACGCAAAAAATTATCTTTTCCTCACTTAACGATTGCAAAACTATTGGAACTCTTATACTAGGTAATGTTGCATGCATCCATTAGACCTGATGAACCTTGTTCTTTACTCAATTATCAGAGTTACAGAGTTCATTTGGATGTCCATCGGTTATATGTTGTTTATTATTATGTCTTAAATATTTCTTGCATTATCTTGCCCTTTGTTTACTTCTGATTTTTCTTGATCATGCTTTTCGTATTGTTCATTCAGATAAAACGTTATTCTAATTGCTAATTGGTGGAAGGAGAATGGGTAATTCAAAGCAAATTCTTTGAGTCTGTCGCTAACTTTCCACAGGAAGGAAAAAGGCTCTTTGGCTAGATAA